AAGAGTATCTTATGACAGCAATGGATCTAACGAATACAGGAGAAAAGATAGGGAAGTCTGGGAGAGAAAGGCAAGACAATCTCTCTCTCTCTCTCTCTCTCTCTCTCTCTCTCTCTCTCTCTCTCTCTCTCTCTCTCTCTCTCTCTTGCCCCATCTCCGGTTCAAAGGTAGGCAGACACTTTTCTTTTGGTTCCTGGGTGAAGTGTTTAGGTGGTTTCACACTGAGGCAGAATATCATACCATAGACAAGATCAAGGAGTTAATTACGAGCGCTCTACCTATAAGAGACGTATACAACTTTTTGCCAACCCACAAGTATATGTGTTTCTTTTTCTTTTTGGGGGGCGTCAGTCCGGTTACTTGTTACCGGCAAGCAAGAGTACAAGAAACATCGAGAAGAGGAATGTAAAGAAGACTCGGCCCAAGAAACATCGAGAAGAGGAATGTAAAGAAGACTCGGCCCAACCCTTGCAGTACGAGTCACCTGCTCAAGGGGGGGGCTGCTACAAGCCGACCCCCCCCCCCCCCACGCAAACCATAGCCTTCCTGGGGGGCTTCTGCTGACAGGAAGCTTACTGGCAGCACCCTGTCACATAGCAGAAGAGAGCCTCAGGAAAGGCGAGGCGCGGGGGAGGCCCTCCTAGCAGCCTCTCCGGACGCAAAACCCAAACTTGGTCGTAGCTACGTGATCGAAACGAAGTCCAAAAAAACGACAAGCATCACTAATACTAATCTCCTCCTTCCTACATATGCCCTCCAAGCTTCGATAAGAGTCCCCTAGTCTTACTCCCCGTCTTGCCCCTGATCTTTCCACTGTCACCCTCCAAAACCTCCCCTCACATCTAGTTCCTTCGGGCGGTCCGCCCTTCCCAACCTCGCAGTGCCCTATTCATCCTGCCTTACATTCAATAGTAGTTATCCCCAGCTTGTAACACAAAGTTTGTCCTTTTGCCAGCATGAGACTCCCCCCTCCCCCCTCTCCCTCCCCTCCCCCTCCTCTGCCTCCCGTCCCACCCTCCCCAGTAGTTAGACTTCAAGTACATGTGTTTCACAAAGGTTCTGGTGAATTTTTCGCTCCTACGGAGTTCCTGCTACTCTTCAAACCTCCTCCCCCTGCAAGGCTTTACATAATTCACCACAAACTTTCCATCAATTCCGACATTCTTCACAAAGTTTCCTCACCTCGTAAACGCCCTTCTATTTATTTCACTCCTTCTGAGATCCCTGCTGCCTTTCACACTTCATCCCCATGCAAGTGAGTTTGCATAATTCACCACAAGCTTTCCATCAATTCCAAAGTTCTGCACAAGCACAAAGAAAAATCAGAAAACCCACCAAGAAACTGTTAGAAACTGCAACAAACAAAAGAATTGCAGAGTTCCCAGGATCCGCAAATCTCTACTTTTTTATTTTGGATTTGTTGTTCTGGTAATTGGAAACTAAAAATAAAAAAGACACAAGGTGCGATCGTGCAGCCCCTCCGCACTCACCAAAGCAGAACAACAAATACATTTCGTTACTATCGAAAACCCACCAACAAATCGTAAGCAACTGCAACAAACAACAGATCCGGAGAGTTTCTAAAACCCATTTGTTTTCCTATTTGGATTTGTGGTTCTGGTTGGAAACAAAACTCAAACAGAATCTGTTGATAGGGCCAGCCCGTCTGGCCCCGAAAGCATAAGTTTGGAGTTGTCCCTCCTGTGGCGGACTACCGTCGCACGAGGAGTTCTCTTGATCGCAATTTCTTTCGCGCGGGGGAGTCAAACCCTTTGCAGACAACTTAGGTGTTGTAAGCAGTAGAGTTTCCTTGTCGTAACGATCTGTTGAGATTCCGTCCTTTGTCCAAAAAAAAAATCAAAAATAAAAATCAAAGAGAAACAAGCTGGGGCCCCATGCGGCCCCTCCATGCTAACCGAAGAAGGACATCAAATAGACTTGTTAGTCTTGAAAAATACTGTGTTATCTGGTTACACTTTTGTCAATCGTTCAAAATGCACTTGCGTAGCCACCATAGATAAGGTCACCCCTGCAATGTACTTCCACCTTTTCTAGGCTTCAGAAGCGGATAAGTACACTGTTCTGGTGTCAGCCTGATGCACATTGTTGGGGAAATACCCTTACCCTTACAAGGTTATTTCTCGCTCCACTAATCTCGACTCGTGAATCTTCATGATTTGAATCGAAGTCTCAAAATGTGTAAAGAGCTGAAATGCAAGGAAAAGAGAGATAGCGAGATGACAGACACTCCAGATAGCACAATCACATTGAAAGCAAGAAAGTCCCACAATGCTGAGGGTAGCAACCTCGCCGCAGTAGTTAAGACTAAGGCAGCAGGCCGCGGCAAGGGCGGTCAGCAAAGGAGTCAGGGGCAGGCCGCTAACCCAAACAAGATAGCTGCTTGGGTTAGAGCAGGCTTGGATCAGGAAGTGTGGCGAGATCGTTGGTCGTGAGGTGCTTGCATAAACTGTGGCGAGTACGGCCATACACAGTTTAAATCCAAGAACCCGAAGGTCTCGCAGAAGATCCCCCCTAAGGGTGGGTTTTCTTCTTCTCAGTCTAGGGCCTCTACGAGCTTCAGCTCGGGAAACACTTAGGGCCGATAGAAGATGTAGCTGCGTCTACTCTCGTTGAAGCGGGTGATGTACCCTCCCCGTTTCAAGAGTTGGCCGAAGCTATTGACTCCTTAGTCACCCCGCAGACGCATCCGGACCCAACTATACTCTGTACGTTGGATGTGTCTGAAGACTTAGAGGACCTTCAAGGTGAGTGGTCGGCAAGGGACCCTCGTGAGTCCTGGGTGGCACTGCGTAGAGGTCCTAGAGGGGAGCACTTCGTTGTGGAAGTTGGTGTCGGTGGTTGCAAGTGCGGCGCCTTTGTAGACATTGGCTCCACGCGAAACTTCATAAGTCGTGACTGTGTTGACAGACTGTGCCTAAAGGACCGGGTGCAGCGCCTTAGTAGACCGGTAGCATCTACTTTTGCCAACAAAGAGCGCATGATGGTGGAGGACTACGTTAAAGATGTAGTCTGCACCTTCTCCTACCAGGAGGAGTGATAAACCATAAGATATCATTCCTGGTGAGCGACGAGTTGCCCTTTGACATGTTATTGGGCATGTACTACCTCGAGGTTGCCAAGGCCCGGTTCGACTGGGACAAGAAGGTGTTGAAGCACGAGTTGCCTAATGGGAGGACCGTTAGACTGGCCAAGTATAAAGCCAGTAGGTTAACAGACTCCTATGGGTGCTTATGCGCATCAACTTTCTATAATTATTATAAACAAAACCAAGAGGAAGGAATGTACTTAGTCTCTGTCTGCAAAAAGGGAGGCCGCTAAAACACCCCCAGAGATAGAGACCATTGTCGCTAAGTACCCTGATCTGTTCGAGGAGCCCTCCGGAGTCGTAGACAGGGAGGTTGTCCATACCATAGAGATCATCCAAGGTAGCAAGACACCTAAGCGGAGAATCTATAGGATGGCTCCGGTCGAGTTGGACGAGCTTCGTCGGCAACTGAAAGAGCTCATAAAAAAGTGTTCGATACGGCCTAGCACTTCCCCCTTGAGCTCACCAGTTCTTTTTGTTCCAAAGAAAGGGGGAACACTAAGGATGTGCATTGATTATAAGGGCCTCAGCTCTCCGATGCACTCAAACGATGGATTGAAGTCATAGATCAGTATGACTACAAACTAGACTATGTGAAGGGAGAGTACAACAAGGTTGCAGATGCGTTGTCTTGAAGGGCAGATTACCTGGGTGCGCTGATTTCTGAGTTTGGCCTATCTGAGGACGTGACTCGATCTATGGAGGAAGCCTAAAAGGAAGATCCCATCATGATGGACATCATCACCAAACTTCAGGCTAAAGACAAGGCCACCACTGATGAGTTTGTGATGGTGGATGGGTTGCTCTTCCTTGAGAAGGTAGGGTTTAAGAGATTACTTGTTCCATCTAGAGAAGATTTGCGTAGTTTGTTTTTAGGAGAATGCCACGACGCAACGGGACATTTCGGCTATAAGAAGCCTAGTGCTAACTTAGTACAACGATTTTGGTGGCCTAACATGCTGGACGATGCAAAGAAGTACGTACAGACCTGTCATGTCTGTCAGCGGGACAAACCCCGGACTCGAGCTCCGCTTGGGTTACTCAAGCCTCTACCCATTCCTACTGGCCCAGGGCAGAGTATCTCCATGGACTTCATGGATACTCTCGTGACCAGCAAGAATGGCAAGAGGCACATCTTCGTCATAGTGGGTAGGTTCACTAAGTACGCTAGACTAATCGCCATGCCAGAAACTGCCAGGACGAAGCACGTCATCAAGTTGTTCATGGACAACTCGGTGCGTAACTTTGGACTTCCAAAAACGATTGTCAGTGACAGAGATGTACGTTTCACAAGCGAGATGTGGAAGAAGGCCGCTGAACAGATGGGCAGCCAGCTTCAAATGACTTCTGGGAATCATCCCGAAACAAATGGGCAGGCTGAACAGATGAACCAAGTGGTGCAGCATCTGCTGAGGCATTACATCAAGCCCAGCCAGGATGACTGGGATGAGAAATTACCTCTCATCGCCAGCCTGTACAATAACGTTGTACACAGCACCACCGACGTCAGTCCTAATCAACTGCATCTGGGGTGGAGGCCTAGATCTGCTCTAGACTTCCTCTTGCCTGAAAACCGAACTGCTGCAATTCCTGGAACCATTGAATTTGGTGTCCAGTATGAGAAACTGTTGCCGCAGACTGTCGAACACATCAAGAAATCTTAGGAAGTTGATTGCTTCTGAGAACAAGCGCCGATGACAGTCCACATTTCAGGTAGGGGAACGTGTCTGGGTCAAGGCTAGTGAGTTGGGACAAGAGTTTGGCATCTCTAGGAAACTAATGCCTCAGTATTTAGGTCCCTGGGAAGTCCTGGACATTGTTGGGAATGATTTGGATGGTCGCTCGTATCCCTGGTCACTTACGCACTGACCCTGTTTTTCACGCTCCCAAGCTTGCACCTTTCGCTGAGACAGCACAGTTCCCATCACGGAGATCTATGCTGCCCCCAACCATGGATGGCCACATGGACGTCGACGATATCCTGGATCACAGAGACACGCCTGTTCCCAAGCCACCTGGCAGGGGAAGACCTCCCAAACCTGTGAGGGAAATACAGAGTACATTTCAGGCATCATACAGATCCGAAGGAAGATCGATGGATTTCAAGGGAGGAACTTGTCAAGACAGCTCCTCGGATCGTGGCAGATTATGAGAAGAAACTGAAGGGGAAAGCACCAGCATGAAGCATCTCAGCGGACTTTCGAAGCTAAGGGGGATGGAATGTGAGGAACGAGCCCTCAAGGGGCCCTATCAGACATCACATTGTTCTGGGCTAAGGCCCCCAGCAAGCGAAGTGCCCGCCCTAAGTGAAGGCGGGCCTGAATATTCGTCAAAGGCAAAATTTGACATTTCCATATGTGGGCATTCAGGCTCTCGCAGCACGCCAGTTGGTTGGGAAGACGCGTGAGCCTCACATTGCTGCGTCATACAGTTGGCCAAGGCCTTCACAGTTGCGCCTGGGCACACATACACAAAGCAGGGCCTATACATTGGGAAGCAGGCCTTCGGCCTTGGCAAAAGCAGCAGTGCGAACGCACCTGCCTGGGAGCTCTGCACAGATGCAGCAAACAGCCCAAGCTCGGAGACTCAGGCCGTGCCTAACTTCAAAGGGCCCAGGCCCTCAACTGTAGTCTCGGGCCTGGGCGCAGGGTCTGGGACCCAACCGGCAGCTACTGGAAGCTTCCAGCCAGGCCACACGCAGCATCCAGGAGGCTGCCACTTCCACAAAAGGAAGGAAGCAGCCCAGGCCAGGCATTCTGGCCAGCGCTGGCAATGCGGAAGTGCTGCTGCGCTGCTGCCAAGGGCGCTGACGGGGCGCGAGAGGTGAAGTGGGGCGCTGCAGGGCAGCGAGGCGCAGGCAGCCATAGCCGGGCTGCTGGGCGCCAGGGGGGTACAGCGGATGATCAGGTGCAGCGTTGTCACGCTGGGATCCCCGGGGCCCAAGCCGGGGTAGGGGTTTCAACCCCGGACCCCCGCCGCGGGGCTACCTGACCCCCGCCCCCGCAAAAACAACCCCGGCCCTGCCCCAACCCCGCCACCCCCGCTCCCAGCCCACACCCCCGCCCCCGCACCCC